TTCCACTATTATTTAATTATAACATAAAATATATTTTAATTGTTTATATTTAATTTACAATGCCCATATCAATACAAGAATTATGAGTGTGGATATTATATAATAAACACATGCACATAATCATATCAATAACGTTATTGATTTTCCTATAGAGAAATGGTATAGAATTAACTAAAAAACTTTAATTAATTAACTAATTTTATTGATTAATTTAAATATGTTGAATACGTAATTATTCAACAATTTATTTCTATTAAAAGATAAGAAATATAAAAAGTATTAGGATCCAATTAGCTTCATTCTTAAATATTTTTCACAATTTATCATCTTATTATTTTATTTGAAAATATTTTACTTGAGGGTTTTCTTTGTTATACGTGGAGGAGAGGAAATTGTATATTGTTATTGTGGGAGAGAAATTACTTAAACAAATAAAACATTTTGTATATTGGTTAGGGTTATTGTCTTAAGCAACATAGAAACTAAGTTATATATAGTCATAACTAATATAAAAAGAAAAAAAATATATTACAATTTCTTTAGGTATTTTTTTTATGTCGATTCTTTAACTAAGATAAAAAAAATCAAATATATTATGTTATGTCATCAATTTATGTCAATTTTATAATTACATAAAAAAAATATTTTAATTGTCATAAAAGAAAATTCTTAGTAGAATAGTGATTGCACATATTATTTTAGTTCCTACCATATTTTATGTATATTTTTCTATCTCCTCTTTTACTTCATACTAATAATTAGATATTTCTTCAACATTCCAGCAATTGGAAAACTAAGAATTTTCAAAATAAAGAAGTGATTATATAAGAAAACGAGATATGCAAACTAATTAAATCAACTAACGCGGCTACAGTTAATGTCAAATAACTACGTGAACAACAATACTATAAGACGTTTGTTGAACATGATAATGAAATACTATTTGTATTAAAATGTGTTACAAATTTGTATGGTTCTAGATAGAGTATTCAAAAATAAAAGTGAAAGTGTTTATTAAATATCTATATTAAGCTTTTCAGCCTAGGGGCAGGTATTTAATAAATAAATAAATAAATAAAGAGTCGTTATCTATATTTATTAAGAAAATATTAAAAATTCATTTAGAAAAGATTGATTTGCGAAACTAAATTTTTGAATTTGAGAGTCTAATATGTGTAGGGGATGTGTTAACCTTCTGCGATGTCTATTATAAATATGATTATTTATAATTAATTAAACATACTTTTTTATTTTAAAATATTTGTCTCGCTCTAATAATTAAAATAAATATTAGTCTATATTTTAATATTTTAAAAATTTAAATTTATTATCATTATTATTGATATCAATTTATATATAAGAAAAATTACCAGGTAAATTATTATAGGGTTAGGTAAATTATTATAGGGTTAAATATGTTTTTACTCCCTAATCTATGGCTGTTTCTGGTTTTCGTCACTCTTTCAAAGTAAGGTACAATTTGGTTCTCATTCTTTCTGAGATGTTCGTTTTATTCCTCGAAATTTTGATTTTAGTCCTCATTTGTTGCTAAATGAGGATCAAATTTTTAAACAGTGTTTAGTTTTCGAGAATTAAAACGAACGTTTCAAAAAGAACGAAGACCAAATTGTACCTTACTTTGAAAAAGGGACGAAAACTAGAAACGACTAATAGTTTAGGAACTAAAAACATATTTAACCCATTATTATATTGACCCAACTTATTTATTCGACGCTTGTCCGAGTTTTTGTTTATATCTAAGAAAAATTACCATTAAGTAAACTACTGTATTGGCCCAACTTCTTTGTTTGAAAGTTGTCCTAAAATGGGCGTTTTTGTCATCTCAGAATTGTTTTAGGAAATTACCATTTTTTTCTCAACTTATGACAGCTTCATGGTACTCTGATAGTGTTATTTTGAATTTTAACATTTTCTTGTCACTGTGCTGGATGGACGTAATGCACAGGTTGAATGGATTGTTGTATAAGCTTCGGTGGTGCGTACGTATAATATTGTTTGTGTTGAAGCTTTATCGTTGAAAGGTTAGGTTCTTCTTCTAAAGGTTGAAGGTTAGGTATTTTGTTTCGTCTCTGTTCTGAAAGAATTTGTTTCCGCATCTTGGTGTCTTCACTGTCATAGTGTGGTAAGTATTGTTTGTGTTGTTTCTTGAATCTTGAAGGTTAGGTTTTTCTTGTACTTTTTTTCGGTCACTAAGTTATTTTTTTCGTCTCTTCGTTCTGGAAGAAGTTCTTTTCATATCTTGGTATCTCCGTTGTCATAATGTGATATGTTACTTTGATCTGATTTGTTTTTCGTATCTTCGTTGGCTTTCTTTTCTATTTTCGTATCTTCGATCTGATTTTTTTTTGTCGACATCTATGATTTTCGTGTTCTTTGGGGTTTCTTGGTTTTTATGTACTGTGCTTACTGAAATGGAGTATTTTTGTCAACTGTTTATATGCTCAAATCCGGAGGTTCTCATTTCTTATTTTATCTGGAAGTTCTGAAGGTTTTATGAGGTTCTTATGTTTTGTGGTTGCAGAGTAAGGTATGTTTTTTTTTTTTTTTTTTTTTTTTTTGTATTTTATCACTTGAAAAGGTAAGAGTTTTGGATTGTAAAGCCTAAACACTCTGTTTGCTATTTATTTTCATTTTCATTATAAACCCTAAATACTCCAAATTTTATGGTTTATTTTGTTCTTTGAAAATTTTCACATGTTGTTATATGTATTATTCGTATACAAACACAAAAACTGTTTACCTTCTGGTATTATTTACTGATCTCATAAGTGTTTTCCAGATGGAAGTTGTTTGCTGTCTCTGGTGCCCTCTCACCTGGGTTATTGTTCAGAGGTAATTTCCACTATCTTTCTTTTCCTTTTTCCTAATGCTACAATGAGAAATTGAAACTTATAATATGTATGAATTATAGTGGTCGAGGCCGTAAAAGCAGGTGTGAACAAGCCAAAGTTGCTCTCCAAGGAGTTTAGCACTATAATTAATGTTGTTGGTTCCTCTCTGATCGACAGGTATGATGTTACAATGCATTCTAATGTTCTGGAGTTGAAATCAATCTGTTTTGCATCTTATGAAATTTGTGTTTGACTGGTATAGAAGTCTTTTGCAGAACTTTTCTAATAGTTATTGTATTTACTTGCAGCATGGGTTTCTTAAAAGACCCTTTTGCATTTATATGCGTTCTTCAAACTGTCCTGAGCACCACAAATTACATATTTATTCTATTTACAACTCGATATGAAGCCTTAGAATCAATTGTTCGTAGCATTGCCTCTGAAGCATCATTTGAAGGAGAACATGTCCATCTCATTCCACCTATCACAGGTATTCAAATAGTCATTTACTTAAGTTATTCTTTTAAACATCTAGGTACTATTTTATCGCATGATTGTTACTTTATGAACTTTTGCTTACTGATCATACTAATCCGCTGAAGATAACAATTAGAAAAATGGAAAATACTAATAGTGTTTGTTTTTGGAGGTGGGAAGGGGGTGTACAGTGCAGTTTTTGCATACTCTAGAAAATTTATCAGAATTATTTCGGTGTTGCAGAAAAATTGGAACCTGTTTAGTGTAAACATTGCAATGGCAGGGACAGGCTTATACCAACTCTCACCAAAATTGCGGTAGGAGGTATTTTTATTTTAGTTTTGGTTGATTTCTCCTCCCCAAGGGTTGGAGTTAAAGGTTCTAGACACAGATTCTTCGTCTTGTGATAATAAGGTTGCATACACTCACCTTGCCCTGTTCCCCAAAGTACAGTGAACCTCATACATCAAGCCATTAATTTGATCAACAGTAATAAAGTTTACTTTTTCAAGTGTAGTATTAGGTGTGATTTATCAGAAAAACAAAAGGCAATAGTGAGGGAAGAAACACAATTACATTTTCAAGTGAAACTCTGCTTTGTGATAATTTCTATGACACATCATATATTAACTTGTGTACTTTTCAGGCATGATTATTCCTCTGAAGCGGCTGTGATGAAATAATGATGCTAAATATTTCATGTTTTTGTGTACTTGGAAGCTGATGTTGAGGCTGTAATTTCAGTTGTTCCACATATAATTGTATTTATACTTTTGGGTGTGTCGTTCATTTTTACTTTTACAAGTTTCAAATTGTTATAAAGCTATGTTGATTTAATCAATTGGATATCCTTAAGTTGGATTAGATAAATATTATTTACTTGCATATATGTAATCTCTAATCGTTGATCAATGTTACTTTTCCAGTTTTTCTTCATATAATATCCCATGCATTGGTTGTTTTAGATAATTGGAAGCATTGGAGCTGGCGCTGCAGGACTAGATTTGGGAAAATAAGGACCGTTGGTACATATAGAATGTTTTTGGAATCTAATTTTTCTATAGGATCCCTTGAAGGGAGACTTGCTATTGCAGTGGCATAGCCAACCTGGCGTGGTTCTATTGTGTAATTTTGCTCTTCCATCATATTCGACTATCTACCACTGATAACATAACATAGCTGGAAAATCGTACTCCTCTATTCAGGTTTAGAAAATAGATATTTGTCAGTACATCATATATAAATTGTACTCATATAGACGTCTTTGTTACAGGTTTAGAAACTCACATTTGAAGCACTCTCTGAGACTTCTGAGTTTGCAAGGAAATGAGTTCCATTCTGCAAGAAGTTCAGCATTGAACCTCAGGCTCCAAATTGGTATTTTGTACAGAAGGTTGACTACTTGAAGGATAAAGTGGATGCAACATTTATGGGAGAACGTGGAGTCATTAAGGTTTGAATTTATTCTTATCATGTCATTTTCTGATCCAAAGGAAAAGCCATAAATTCAAGGCTTCAGTTATGCATGAAATATGATTAATTGAGAAACATAGTGTTAGATGTTAAGATGTGTGTTTATGTTAATTGGGCTCAACCCATTCTGTATTAAGGATCTTGGCCTATATCTTACATTATAAATAAACTATCCTATATGTATGCAAAATACACAAGGGAGATTTCTCCCAATCTTCTCTATTTCTCACATGGTATCTAGAGTATAGGATTAGTTCTAGCCAACTCCACGGTCTTCGACACACACTGCCGCTGTCGCTACCGTCGCCAGAGTTCTAGAATCGACTGACGACCATACCATCAGAATCGTCTCGGTCGGGCGACCACTGTGGTGCAAAGATCGCGGCGAATGGACCACCCACGCGCCTCCACGCGTCGCCGCAACAGTCGCCGGCACCGCCGCTTCCCGCCGTGCGTGCCGGTGCGTCGTCGGAAAATTCCGCCGTCGATTAGAACCGCCGTGATCGCCTTCTCGCCCTCTTTCTGGATCTGTGGTCGTTGCGTCAATCGGAGCATTTTGGATTTTTAGGGTTTCTCCTTCTCCATGGCTTCTTCCTCGTCTACAAACACCTCTCTTGGTGGCTCATCTTCTGATCCCTCAATATATACCAATTATGTGAATGTACACTTGTCCATTGACAAGTTAGATGGCACAAATTATGCAACATGGGCGTCCGACATCAAACTTTGGTTGAAAAGTCAGGGGTACGTAGATAACCTTACTCAAAATGTGACTACTGCTACCACAGATGACACTTCCCACTGGATGAAAATTGATGCCAAGCTATGTATTGTTATAAAGTCCACCATTCACTCCATACTGAAACAAATGTTTCGATCAACGATCAAAGTTCTTAATGAGCTATTACCTCCTACTTCCATTCCTGCTGAAGAACTGGAACAACGATCAAAGTTCTTCATGTTGTTGGCATTATACGGACTCTTTGATGATTTCTCTCATGTCCGTGATCACATTTTGGGTTCTTATGTCATACCCAACTTTACTTCTACTTGTTCTGCACTTTTGCGTATACCGAGCAAACCAATCATTGAGACATCTNTGCAACATGGGCGTCCGACATCAAACTTTGGTTGAAAAGTCAGGGGTACGTAGATAACCTTACTCAAAATGTGACTACTGCTACCACAGATGACACTTCCCACTGGATGAAAATTGATGCCAAGCTATGTATTGTTATAAAGTCCACCATTCACTCCATACTGAAACAAATGTTTCGATCAACGATCAAAGTTCTTAATGAGCTATTACCTCCTACTTCCATTCCTGCTGAAGAACTGGAACAACGATCAAAGTTCTTCATGTTGTTGGCATTATACGGACTCTTTGATGATTTCTCTCATGTCCGTGATCACATTTTGGGTTCTTATGTCATACCCAACTTTACTTCTACTTGTTCTGCACTTTTGCGTATACCGAGCAAACCAATCATTGAGACATCTCCTCATACTGATGATTCCTTAGCTATGGCTGCCCAACGTGATGATCGAAGTCGGTCTCGCAAGCCAAGTAAAGGACGTCCAAAATGTGACAATTGTGGCAAGTTAGGCCACAAAATTGATAGATGTTATGTGCTTCATGGACGTCCTCCTCGACTTGTAGCAATGGCTAATTCTGATCCACCTCCCCGATCACCGTCTACAGACCATCCTACTTCATCTCATACCATAGAAAACCCTGCAATCTTTCACGAATTTCTCAGATGGTATGAGGATCGTCAACACTCTAGTTCCACTACATTTGCATCTGTTGCACAAACAGGTACACCTTTTGTTGGTCTGACTCACTTTCACTCCCTTGGACCTTGGGTCCTTGACTCAGGCGCCACCGATCATATCACTTTTGGATACATCTTGATGCGATAAAATTGTTAAACACATTTAATATTGTATTCTTAATGGATTTGACCTATAAAACAAACAAATATAGATTTTCGTTGCTTGAGATTATCGGCATGACATCTACGGGGTTAACCTTCTCAACCGCATTTGCATTCTTGTCAAGTAAAAGACAAAATAATTTCATTTGGGCTTTGGAAAAACAGAGGTTTATTTTTGACATCTAAGGACGGTCCTAAAGTCATTGTGAGTGACTAAGACTCAACTTTAGTGAATGTCATTGCAAATGTATTCCTTGAGTCATATCAGATGTTTTATCGATTCCAAATCCTTAAATATGTTAAAGCAAAATGCTAGTTGATTCTATTGAGGCTTGAGATGTGTTGATAGAAGCATGGGAAAATGTGATGAATTGTGTTGATCAGACCATGTTTAATGATTGTGTGAATCGTCTTAAATACGCCTCTAGTTCATGGCCTTTATTCTTTGAATATGTGAATCATTATTCCATGCAATACATACTTTGTAAAGGCCTGTACGAATAAAGTAATGCATTTAGGGAACATAAACACAAATAGATATGTGTTAGTGATTTTACTTAGTTGTGTTTGATAAATATTGTTTGATATTGTTGATGCTTTTCTTTTAGGGTTGAGTCTGCTCATTAGAGCTTGAAGAAACTTTTGGACAGTAGAATGAGAGATATTTGTTCTTTTTGGGATGTTATTTATAATGTTATCTTGCAACACAACAAGATTAAGGCATCATTTGAAATAAGTCTCAGAAAACTGTCCGAGGACCAAGAGGTGAAGTAGCATCGACACATCATTAAGAGTCACAGACATCTAATTCACAAGGAGATGAAAACTGCTTGTCTCGAAATGTCATCCCTCAATGAATCTGAACAATAAACCCTTATCGGCATAATCATAAGAAATGTTCGTGAGAGACATTAAAGTCGAATTCAACACAATTTGTTGAATTCCATCATGGCAGGGTCTTAATTTATCTAAGTTTTTTTTTCCTGTGAGAGAACAACTTAATCTTCCCTTGATCCTACATAATAATATTTATTTAATATATTTTTTATTCAAAATAAGCAATAATAATTATAATTTAAGTTTTGTAGTCACCCAACCCTGCTAAATTGCATAAGTAATATGTTGAACATAGTGCGCGAATAAGGAATAAGTATGTGAACCTCCAAGAAATTCACCAACTTCCTTATCTATTCGAGGAACATCCTGATGCTCCTCCTCCTCAACATGCGCTTCAAATGTGTGCATCTCAGGCTCCTCATATGCGTGCTCCTCAACTATAGGGTTATCTATATAAGCATCAATAACAACTTTCATGCCTTCTCCGAGCTAAAGTTGTGGGTCTTCTCGTTGTTTCATCAACTATATCCACCACGGTATAATTAAAAAATTAAATAACACAATAAATAAACAAAATTACTACAAAACTAAACCAATATTTATTAAAAACTATTACAAAATTGAACATATTATATATATATATATATATATATATATATATATAAGATATTAATATATTAATGGAAAAAAAGTTATAGAAATTTCAAACCTATCTTAAAACCAAACAAATTTATTTTAAAAAAAATTACTTATTAGATAACATATCTAAAAATTAAATAAAATATTCATTTAATTATATACATTAAGAAATATCCAAAAAAAAGAACACAATTGTTTAAAACAATTTTAATTACAAATTATTGCTTTAAATATAAATTTTTTGAATAAATTCTAATTCCATAAAATATTAACCTATCTCTAACAATTATTAAAAATTAATTACAAATAATTTAATATTATCATTTAAAAACATATAAAAAAATTAATTAACAAATAATTAAAGAAAACAAAAACAATTAATTAATTAACTATAAATAAATTAAAAAAATAAAGAAAAAGTTAATTAACTATAAATAATTTATAAAAATAAAGCAAATAAATAATTAACTATAAATAAAATAATTTTTTAATATAAAAACTATAAAAAAAATAATTACACAATAAATAATTAATTAACTAAAATAAATATGTTGAAGGTCTTCAACGGATATGGAAATCCATTTGTAATAGATTTTAAAATTCGTTGAGATAGATTTTAAAATTCGTCGAAGATCGCAACAAATTTTTCACATGGCTTCAACGTTTTCTTTATTTAAAACAATTTTAGTCATAAATTTGTAATAAATTATTTTAATAAATTTTATTTCTATAAATGGTTAACAACCTATCCCTAACATTTATAAAAAAAATTAATTACGAATAATTTAATATTATCATTTAAAAACATATCAAAAGCAATTTTAATTAATTATGAATAAATTAAAAAATTAATTAATTAACTATAAATAAATTATAAAAATAAAACAAATAATTAAATAACTATAAATAAAACCATTTTATGATTTAAAAATTATAAATGAAATAATGTAAAAAATAATAAATTAATTAACTAAAAGAACATTAAAGGTCTTCAATCGATATGGGAAATTAGTTGCAACAAATTCGTTGAAGAATTTTGAAGACCGTAACAAATTTACCATTCCATTGGCTTTCAATCTTTTCTTTTTACAAATTTATCAGAACATATCAAAATACAATTTTCATATACATGTTCACAAATTCATATTGCAACTAAATATACATGCAAACGAGAACCTCACATGCAAAAGATCAAATAAACATTAATATCATGAATAGGAAAGATTGAAACAGAAATAACACGAGAAGACGAACCAACCTAGATTTAAAGAACAAACGAACCAAACTGAGATAACAAACCAAGCACACAAATTAGTAAACGGAAGCAACGAAAGAATTAAACAGAGAGTACAAGAATACTCAAAACAGAGAGGAAGAAAGTAAGATGTGTGCAAGATAGGAAAAGAAAAAGATGTGGGGGTGAGGTGCTGGAACGTGCCTCAAGTAAGAGGGGGAAACAAGGGATTAGAATTTAAAAAAAAAA